CTGATGGTCCTTCTTGAGCATGTGATAAGCTGGTTTTGGTTGTCAGCAGCAAAACTGGTTGATCCACTCTGAGAAGGTGCTATTTAAGAGACTGAGCTGAATACAGCACCTCAGACTGAGGAAGTCTCTCGGATGAAAGACGAAACGTTTCTACATTTTTTTTGCTTTATTTTGTTTTTGAATGTCCAGAGGACCAGATTGAACTTTTTTGGAATGTTTCTAAAAGCAAAATCTCAAAATGAAAGTAACAGAGCTGCTCCAACATGCAGCCACCTTGAGCGGTGCAATTGTAGAACTCAATAACAAGCTAAAATTAGCAGAAAGAAGTAAAAAAAAACACAAAAATGTTGTAGTTAGCAGAAAGAATCAGAAAGGAGCATAAAACAGCTGAAAAACCAGTTTAAATTAGCTGAAAGTAGCTGGAAAAAAGTTAAAACTTGCACAAGGAAGCTGAAAGAGGCTGAAGCAGAACAAAACGTGAAAGGAGCAGTAAAATGTTGTAAACAGATCTTAAGATCTGAAGATGTAAAATGAGCTCAACTTATTTTCTATGAGGGAAAAATGGCAGAAAATGCTAAATATTTCAAAAAGCTAAAGTTGCACCAATACCAAAAGTCACATCAGGATTGTCTTGAGTTTTGATTTATGATTTGTTGAAATAGCATAAAAATTGTGGAAAAAAGGAAGAGGCTGAAAAATGTATGTAAGAAAAGTGGATCACAGTTGTGTGTACATAAACATACCATAAACATTCACACAATCAGAATACTTTTTTATGTCTCTATGTGGCCCTGTGATGGACTTGCGACCCATCCAGGGTGTACCCCTGCCCCTCGCACATTGGTTTTTGGACATGGGCACCGGCGACCCCCGCAACCCAAAATGGAATAAACGGGTAAAGATAATGGATGGATGGATGAGAATACTTTGTCAACTTTGACTTTCAAACATTCTTTGAAGGAATGCCCACTGCCTTGTATGCCACAGTTTTGAACAAACAACTCGCATATTGGCAGAACAGTGACTCAGTGGTTAGCACTGTTGCTTCACAGCAGAAAGATCCCAGGTTCAAGCTCAGGTAGGGCTTTTTCTTTGTGGAGTTTACATGTTCTCCTCGTGTTTTCTCCTCCACTTGGTGTTTCCTCCCAAAGTAGAAAAACATATGTTAAGGCTGCTTTCAGGCCTAGGCCTCCCTTGAAAAAGACGTGCTTTTGGTGGGATATGCCAAGTTAAATAAAGTTTTGCAGTAACTGTTAGCGCATGGAGTGGGGATAACTTTCTGATACTATCAAGACATATTTTAGTTCAGAACATAACAAACCAGCTTTATTTATAGATTAGATAAATATCTAATGGTTCAAGGTTCCAAATTCTTCGTCATTAGTATCACATGTGGTACATGAGGTAGAACAAAATTGTGTACTAAAGGTCCCAAT